GAAAGATATTTGCTAGTAGATATAAGTACTAATAATTATGGTTTGTATATATATAGAATTCAGAAGTCAAAGACTTCTTACAGCTGGCATATATGACCTCATTGTCTTTCAATATCTGTTTAGTTATCCATATGGATTATGTTTGTTATATGAGTAATAGGGCCAAACCGCAATACAAGAATCGTCCTACCAAGGTCGTAGGGTTGATAGAAGGACATGAGAAAAGACAAAAAAGGAAGCAATTATTTATATAATCGTCATTTTCTGCAGTTTTCTTTTTCATTTATCCACATCCAGAAAAAAACCAAGGTTGTATGTACCGCAACAAACTCAGATAATTACATTTTTGGGATCGTCTGAAAATGAAATATGGATAAAGTCTATAATGATAAGAAATCTTGAGGGCAAAAGACGAATGACAGACAAGACCAATTATGATTTTCATTTATCCCTTACGTCAGACATTTCTTATCAAGGATATACATAGATCACTTGGCTTCTCTAATTTATCTATAGATAGAAAAAAAAAGAAAAGAAGGAAAAGAAAAATGTATATTTTCCCCTTATGTGTCATATCAGTACGTATGTACCGGCCTTGGTTTATTTGCGGTTATATCTTATCTCATCAGAATGATGAAGACGAGAATAGAAAACGTAATCCATATTGTGTATATTGAATAAACACATACAACAGAGACATTCACTCTATTACATCTCTCATGTTTCTGTACCTTGCTACCATTACAACCGGGTACACCAGGAATACCACGTGGACCGACAGCACCAGGCTGTCCGGGAAAACCATTTTGACCATCAATAGGCAATAAACCATCATCACCCTATTTGTTCAAAGATATAGAAAAGAAAACATAATAACAAAAAAGAATAAATAATTGTAACTTACTCGTTCTCCTTTGTTACCATATTGACCACGATCACCTTTTTCACCAGAAACACCTGTATTACCTGGTCGTCCTGAGGGACCTTTAAGACCACGATCACCTGGAATACCTGGAAAACCCTGTGGACCTAAAAATAACAACGAATATTATATCAAATCATTGGCATATTATATTTGCTTAAAAAAATAATAATAATATAGAACTTACCAGTTATACCCATAGCACCTTTTCCTGGGCATTGACAATCACGTCGTGGACCACAACCTTTACATTCAGTACCTTGAACATGTGTTTCACTAGGATCTTTTGGTGGATATTGTCCAGATGGAGGTTGAGGATATCGTTGTCGATGATCATAAGGATATGGATTATATTCTTGTCTTTTTACTCTAATCTTTGATACATCATCATCATTTTGAGCCTATAAAATAGTGACAAAAATCAAATTATGTAAAAAATCAAATTCTATGTTTATTATGAATACTTACAGTTCGAGTTTCAATTTGACTAAGAATAGAAAAAAACAAAATAAGACCGATGATGAACGGCCTCAATAATGAAGCCATCGGGCGCGTGCGTACACAAACACGACACACGTAATTCAACAATCAATCTGTAATCTTCAATAAAAAAAAAAAGAAAGAATACAAACATAATTATGAGATATCTGACATGCAAAGTCTTCTTCATCTTCTTTTTTCAAATATAATTCTATCTTCACTATAGACAATCACAAAAAATAAACAAAAGAAAAGATATGTCTGTCTGTTTTTATCTCTTACTCAATGTGTTTTTGACAAGTTTATATAAAAACGTGTTCAATTGTTAGTCAGTTGATAACGGTAGTAGCAGTAACGGACATTAGTCCAGCCAAAAAAAGCTAGTTCGAGCTGTACAACATGTACATTTTTTTTCTTTTCCCTCTCTTTTTCTTCTCTCTACATTTCTCTGCCTTTTTTTTGGGAGAAAAAGCGAATGCATTATAAGAAAACTGGACGATAATGATTGTGGTAGCAAATTACGCAGGGCGAGTGTTTGTATGTAAGAGAAAATGTCTTACGTATATATGTATATGTAATATTATGTATGTTATCAGTCCTACTACTACACAGAAACAGCAGAAGCGGTACAGCACAATCGATATTCATCTTTCATCAAGAAAGGAATATAGAACAAAAACCGCGTTTTTCTGGTTGGTGGATTTGAGTGTCATCTCTCTTCTCTTTCTCTCTCCCTCCTTCCCTCTCTCTCTCTTTCTATGATTGTACTAAGACGATTGATATTATTGTACCAAGGGAAGAAAATAGTCCAGTTTCTACAACGTTAGCACTTTTTTGAGCGACTGCTCGCGTTCGATCTTTACTCGTCTGTTGTAGACTATACGACGACGACAGTGCAACTACTGTAGCTGTCCGTCGCCGCTGAATCGCGCGTGACTATAGACAGGCCATTTGACAATATGCAACTAACAACATCAACTTCAAAATCGTCCCGTTTGCGGACTATAAGGTAAGCCATTTAAGTTACTTATTCAATGTTGATCTAACATTGAAGAATAATAGAAAAGAGAAAATGAAAAGACAGAGAAGTATTCATATTTTGTTTTTTAATACAAACGTGTATATGGGTACACTTTTTTTTCATTCCAATTGATCTATACCGTCCGTTGATCTGTATATGTGTATATATATATGTATATATGTATGTATGGTTGCATATGTTTGTATGAGAAAAAAAGAGAGCTGCATATGAATAGACTCTCAACTATTCATGGCTAGTTTGCCTTTCCTTTTTTCTTCATTTAGAGATCATTCGTAAGAGAGTTTTTCGTTTCTGTTCATCTTTTATATACACGCGCTGTTACATAAACCAAATCAAAGCGATAGGACATACGATGTCGACCATCGTCATTTTGTATTTATAAACAATTTTTCATAGTTTCTTTTTTATTAAGAGAAAAAAAAAGAAGAAAGGAAGAGATATCTTTTATTTATTCTTTTATTTACTCTCTGTTGTTCCCACTGCATGATATTACCATCAATACTGACAGTCGGTTTATATGTGTGCATATTATAACAAAGAACTCGTTTATACATATTCTTTTTACACCGGAGTATCTCTCTCTCTATGTTTGTATTTTATGCATTTATATGCCATAAATTGATGAAATAGGAGAAGAAATAAAAAGAATAGTTCTCGTCTTTTCTTTTTTATTTCTTCAGTTAACCATTGAAAAAAGTTTAATATTCGGATTAGTCAGAGTACTCAAAAAAAAAGAATCTTCTGTCTAAATTTATCGTGCCATTTAGTACAAGCTAAAAATACATTTCTTATCTTTTTTGAGGTTATATTGGTACAAAGTACTATCGTTCTCGTTTGGCCTCGTCGATTCTCCTCCTTGGCTTTTTTTGCTAATAGATTATTGAGATCACATAATAATTCCTTGGTTTATCTATCTCTTTTTTTTCCTTCGCTTCCTTGCCTACTCGCGTTCATCTTTCATCGCCTCTCTGTGTACTATTCTATCACCGTCTTGTACATACGATAACGTTACTAGTTTTTCTTCTTTTCTGTACAATATTCAAGAATTATTAATTATCGCACTAAGATGGCAACCACCAGTCGTGCTAAGGTCATTTTTATCCAATGTTGACGTCGATATGTACTAAAAGATAGCAATAAAATAGAAGGACTCTATCATTGCTATAGCCCATTGTAAACATACTATCGTCATTGCCATCTAATCGAACAAAGGACGACATTAACAAAAGAAAGCGTAATAAGAAAAAAGATTATACAAGTTTCTTTATTTTTCTATTAATTGTATGCCAAATGTTTGCAAGAATAATATTCCATAAAACTTATACAAAATGGTTATGTATTCGTATGACCAAGTAAGTATATTCATCATTTATATATAGATATATGTATATTATTTGACCACTGGTTAATTTCTTTTCAAAACAAAATAGAAAGAAAGAGTCAATATCATTCATCATATTATTCTAGTTGCATATTCTCACATACATATAGATCAGTTTGTTTATTTACCTAACAGTTATTATTAATTTCTTTTCTTTCTTTTCCGCGAAAAGGAAAGGCTAGTAATCGTGATACCATGAACTACCTTGAAGACACACATACACACATAAATATTCCCTTTCTCTTATAAAGTTCAACTAAAATAAGAATAGTCTAAGAATGATGATAGACACAACTAGATATGGATAATGCATAATATTACCATTGTCTTTCTTTTACGCTTGATCTGATAATAGGAACAAACATACATCCATCCATACATATATATATTCATTACCACTTCTCTTCTTTGTTAAAAGAATAGTAAGAGAAGTGTATGGTAATGTGATGCAACATAAAGAAAAGCTGCAGAATACTCATGTTTATTCCTTGAACAAAGCATTTACTTTTCTATTCTTTTATTGTCAAGAGCTTGTCCATTATGTGATAAAAGAAATGATTTTGTAGCCAACTATTCAACCGATCTATATCTTAATATATCATTGAATTTTGGGTTACTCTCTTTCTTCATCTTTGTGCTTAATTGACGTGCGATGAGTACTAAATAATTGTTAGTCGCATTCTTTACGTGCATTTATATACATATATGTGTATATATTGAATCTATATAATATGTCTGTATGCGTTTGTTTTATATCAAAGTAAACTTAAATTGAAAGTGAAGTGAGAACGGATGATAAGAGTTGCGAGCTTGTAATGTGTTAAGTGAAAAAACATAGAGAAAAAGAAAAAAAAAATTTTATGATTATACATCGATCATCTGTATATCTAAGGCGTGTTCATATTGATATCTATCTTATTCTCGATTATACATATATATTTATGTAATGAGTGACAAGCTTGACAAGCTATTTGCCAATATTCACCATAATGAGAAGGCAATAGGTTTTATGTTCTATTAGACATTGATCAATGGAAATGATCAAAAATTCGATAAGCTGGAGGACATCAATAAAAGAATAAATGAATGTATATTGCTATACATATGGATAGAATAGATTATCTGCATTGCATCATGCTATCTTTATTCATTTTATTTCATTGATATCTATAGATATGTATAGTTTATTGTAATCTTATCCAATAAAAGAAAAAAAAAAAAAGAAGAAATATTATTTTTAATTTGTTTTCTTTCTTTTTTTAGGTTAAATTATGCTTCCATTGTATTCCTACTTATCCTATCCATATTCATTGAAACAAGCAATGCTCAATTAAGAGTATGTATTTCATATGTTTTAGTTACGTTTATCTTCACGTGGATTTATGATGCAACCGTTTTGTACAACTAGTAGCGATAATAAACAGGCAACTACTGTGAATAAACAGTTCAGGCATATTTTCTATCAACATGAACAGACAAAAAAGGCGCCTGTGTATATATACATTTGAGTCAATTGAACGATGACGGTGGTGATTGAGTGACTTGCCTCATCATTATCAATACTAATTATTTTGTCATTCTCTATTACTGTAAGCAAGATATATATATATATAGAGAGAGAGAGAGAGGAAAAAAGGAACAACTGGAGACCAAATGCCGCGATACAATGAACAGAAGAGAAGGTAGAAAATGTTGCGCTATAAGGCATATCTGTGTATGATATAATAAACAGTTTATAGGCAAATTAAAAGGAAACGAACAAGTTCAATGAATATGTATATATAAATAAATGTGATTGTTATTTTTCTTTTCTTCTAGAACAACGATTCCAATACGGTAACACCACCACCAGGTTATGCATTTGCACCCGGCTATGGTTCATCCCAATATCAACCAAGAGTTCAGAAAACCAGTGGTGACTGCAATAATTGTAATCAACCATGTTTTTGTATAGCACAAAAAGGAGATCAGGTAAATTTATAAGAATAGAATAAAGAACAAAATATGTTATGTTATATTACTTGATTTATTTAGGGTCCAGCTGGTCCAATGGGTCCTACGGGTGCTCGAGGGTCAGATGGTGTTCCTGGTCCTGAAGGTAAAGTATTTTTTTTTTCTATTATGATTTTTTATAAATATTAATAATTTTAATATTTAGGACCTGAGGGTATGAAAGGAGAAAAAGGTGATCGGGGTTTACCCGGTCTACCTGGTCAAAAAGGTGACAGAGTGAGTATTTATCATATAAAATAAAAAGAATTTTTTTGGTTTTATGTCTTCTTTTTCTCATTTAATAGGGGCGATCCGGTGAACCTGGAATGCCTGGTATGAATAAATTGACTACTTATTTCGTTTAATTCTATATAAATAAATTTCATTTTAGGCCATCCCGGTTTGCCTGGTCTTCCGGGTCCAAGAGTGAGTGATTCAATATATTTTTCTCATATAATTTATAATATTATTTTCTATTTTATTTTAGGGACCAGAAGGTAAATGATCAGTATGTATAAGAAACAATGAAATGAACAATTTATTTTTTCAGGTTTACCTGGTCGTGATGGTTGTAATGGAACAAAGGTGCGTACTGATTGTAAAACTATTCTATGTTATTAGTTTTTTTTTATTATATGTATATAGGGAGAACCTGGCCGATCAGGATTTAATGGACAGGTAAAATAGATGAATTAATTTGAAATTTAAAATATTATAATTTAATTATTCTTTTTTAGCCCGGTCGTCCCGGTGAACCTGGTGCGTAGATGGACAAAAACAAATAGTAGTCTTTTTTTTATACTATATAATGTTTTCTTTTTAATTTTAGGTCTACCTGGACTAAGAGGACCGAAAGGTATAAAAGAAATATTTTAATCTATAGAATTTATTTATTATTTTTTATCGAATAGGTGAACCTGCACAAGCTTTACCCGGATTTAAAGGAGAAATCGTAAGTTTCCAAAAGAAAACGATATTGTAATCAATTGTATAACATCTAATTTTTTTTCAGGGAGAAATGGGACCTCCTGGTCTTCCCGGTGCTGCTGTAAGTATTTATTAGTTTTTTTTTGTTTTTATAAGAATAGTTATATTTTACTTTTCTAGGGCCCTGCTGGCAATCCTGGCTTGCCTGGAGCACCAGGTGGAGTTGGTTTTCCTGGACGTGAAGTAAGTAGTAAAATAATTATGGATTAATAATAGAAGAATGAAATGTTTAGGGTACTAAAGGTGAACGAGGTGAATCAGGTCGTCCAGGTATGAAGACAAACGTATTTAATTAAAATAATATTTTACATCAAAATCTTATTAGGTAACGCTGGAGTTGGACTTAGTGGTGAAAAAGGTCAAAAAGGAGAGCCTGTAAGTATAAATATTAGAAAAAAAAAGAAATTACTATTCTTGTAAATTTAGGGATCATCTGCTCCCTATACACCACCATCAATCGCTGAAATACAAGGTAACTACAGTTATGTTCCATTATCGATTCCTGGCGCACCGGGTCAAAAGGTATATGTTCTTACAAAAAAAAAGGAAAAAAAGAAATTTTTTAATCAATTTTTATTAATAGGGTGCTATGGGACCTAAAGGAGAACCTGGAGAGATTGGTTATCCAGGTGCACCTGGTTCTGCTGGACCACCAGGTTTACCCGGTGAAAAAGGTGTACCAGGTCCTGTCGGACCTCGTGTAAGTATTATTGAATTTATTACTTTCTTTTGTAGTCTTATATTTGTTTTAAATAGGGTCCTACTGGAATGCCTGGTCAAGCTGGTTTTCCTGGACAAGCAGGGTAAGATTTTTTTTAATTCCTTTTAAACTATTTGTTATTACTAACTTTTGTTTGTTTTTTAGTGATCGTGGTAGCCCTGGTTATCCTGGTCAACCAGTATGTGATAAATAATACTAAGCATTTATATTTATATTTTCTTTTAATCTATAGGGCAGTCCCGGAAGACCTGGTCAAAATGGTTTACCAGGAGAAAAAGGTTTGTCATTTGATGAATAGGAAAAAAGAATACAAACATGTTTTGTTTAGGTGATCGTGGTTTTCCTGGTATGCCTGGCATGTGTTTACCTGTATGTATATCTCAAAAAAAAAAAAACTTCTTTAAATCTTATTATTTATTTCTTCATAGGATCAAGGAACTGATTCATTACCTGGACAACCTGGACCAGCAGTAAGTTAGAAAATAAATTTATAGATATGCTTTTATTTTATCTCTTTTTTCGTGATAGGGACCGAAAGGAGAACGCGGTAAATAATTGAAAGAAATTTGTAGAAAAATTAAAAAAATATAATTTCTCTAGGTCCACCTGGATCACCCGGTTATCCCGGACCACCCGTGAGTATTTTTTTTTGAATGAAATTGAAATTGTATGATATAACTAATATTGTTTTTGATAGGGTTTACCTGGAAGCCAAGGACCAAAAGGTGACCGTGGTTTTGATGGATTACCTGGTAGTCCTGGTCAACGTAAGTTTTTTTTTATTCTTGAAATATAATCATATTGATTTCTTTTACTTTATTTTTCAGCTGGACGTGATGGCATGAAAGGCGAAAAAGGAGATAGTGGACGACATGGTAAGAAATTTGTGTATAAAAAAATGAATGTTTTACATATATATGCTTTGTTCTACAGGTGATCCTGGTCCATCTGGATTTCCCGGTCCACAAGGTTGGTTCAAAATGATGTAAATTGATTTATTATATTGATTTATTATAGGTTATCGTGGAGCTAAAGGTGAACCCGGTCCTAAAGGTACGTGTAATAAATAAACAAATGTTTTTTTATTATATTCATGTCTTTGGATTTTTCTAGGTGAACCTGGTCGTGCAATTGCTGGTCCACCTGGTCTTGATGGTTATCCAGGCCAATCTGGTCCACCAGGACAAAAAGGTAGAAAATTAATCGACTGAAAAAATTAAGTAAATTTTATCATTGCTTTTGTTAATAGGTGAATCTGGTCCGCGTGGTGCACCTGGCTTACCTGGAAATTCAACTGCCGGTGTCGGTTTACCTGGTCCACAAGGACGTATGTGTTTCTTTGTATTTTTTTAGCATTTTCAATAATATTTTATGATTTTTTTTAGCAATCGGTCCACCCGGTAGTTCTGGTGCACCTGGTTTTCAAGGTATTGCCGGTATGAAAGGAGCTAAGGGAGATCGCGGTAAGTGTTATTGATAAAAAATAAGAAAAATATCATCTACAAAAAAGAATTATTTCTATTAGGTCTTGATGGTGTATGTGGTACTCGTGATGGTTTGAAAGGTAGCAAAGGTGAACCAGGCTATCCTGGAGAAGCTGGTAAGTAAAGATTTTTACATAAAAAAATGTATGTTTTTTATTAATATTATTCATTTAGGTACACCTGGTCAACGTGGTACATCCGGAGAAAAAGGTGATCGAGGTGATGTTGGTCCGCAAGGTTATCCTGGTAATGTTGGTCCAGCTGGTGCACCTGTAAGTTTAGATGATTTTTTCTTTCTTTTTGTAGAAATTTCTTTTTCTGAATTAGGGTCGTAATGGTAACGATGGTATACCAGGTGAAAAAGGAGAAAAAGTATGTATGATTAGATTTTTATTGATTATATTAACAAAATTTGTGTACATAGGGAGAACCAGCTCGTGTTGCAACAGTACAAGGAATCTCAGGAGAAAAGGGAACACCAGGTTCATATATTTTTTTTTTTTGAATGATATATTGAAATAATTCGTTTCTTTTAGGTCTTCCCGGTTTGAAAGGTGATCGTGGTGAAAAAGGTAAGAAAAAATTAATCAATTATTTAATTTTTTTCCATGTTTTTCTGTTTTCAGGCGCACCAGGTTATAGTGGTCGTGATGGTCAACCAGGTGCTATGGGATCAGTTGGACCAAAAGTAAATCATTTTTTTTCTAGAAGTATTAGTCAAAGATGGTTTTATTTTCGTAGGGTGATGCTGGCTATCCTGGTCAACCAGGTCCACCAGGTAGTCCAGGTCCAATGGGTGATATTGGTCCACCAGGTGCTACACTTCCAGGTGAAAAAGGAGAAAAGGGTATTCCAGGTCCAGTCGGTACGTACGATTAATCTCTATTGTATCATTCTCTTATCGTTTGTTTTTTTCTCTCTCAAATAGGTATTCCTGGTCCACATGGTACTGCAGGTCAAAAAGGAGAACCAGGTACGTACATTAGTTTATAGAACGAAACAATTATTCAAATTGTTTTTTATTGTTTTAGGTCGACCAGCACCTTCAGGATTATCAGCAATGCCAGGTCCACAAGGAGAAAAAGGTGATCGTGGATCAGCAGGCCTTCCGGGAGCCCCAGGACTTCCAGTATGATCTATCTATAATAAATGATTCAATATTTTCAATCGAATTTTTTTAAGGGTCCAAATGGTTTACCAGGATTATCGGGAACACATGGAGCTAAAGGTGAACCAGGTCTACCAGGTATTCCAGGTCTTCCCGGACCAAAGGGCATTACAGGTATATTGAAAACTAAGATTCCTTGTATATAACTAAACTGATATCTTTTACTTGTGTTGTTAGGCTATCGTGGAGAACCAGGTATGTTCATAGTTTTCAATATTTATAAATAAGAAAAAAAAGCAATATTTACTTAATATAGGTATTCCGGGTCGTGATGGAACATCAGGTCTTCCAGGTCCAAAAGGATTTGGTAAATATCCCTATCATTGATATTGATCTTTGTCCATTTTAATTATTTTTATTTTCAGATGGAGCACCAGGTTTATCAGGTCGTCCAGGTATGTTTTCATATGATACATCGATAGAGTTTCGTTTTGATCAATGCTCTTTTTTATAGGAGAAAAAGGAGAACCAGGACTTCCAGGTCCAGGCTTTCCAGGTAAGAATTTTATTATAGTTTTATTTACAAAAGAAATTTATAAATAATCTGCATTATTTAAGGAGCACCAGGCTCTGTTGGTCCTGCTGGTGAACGTGGATTTTCAGGTATAAAATTTATTGCATGAGAAAATAATGAAATTATAGTAAAATATTTTTATTATTATAGGCTTACCTGGACCAATGGGTGAAAGTGGATTGCCAGGCATGAAAGGTATATGATGAAATAAAAAATAATATTATATAAATTTTATTTCAATTTATAGGAGAACCTGGTCTACCCGGTGTTAATGGTCTTCCAGGACCTGTGGGCATGAAAGGGTATAAATATATGATAAATAAATAACTTGTTTTATTGTGTTTTTCTATTTACAGTGAACGAGGAGAACCAGGTATTGGTGGACAAAAAGGTGATCAAGGTAAGAAATTTTTTGAACAAGATTTGCTGAACTGAATTTTCTCAATCTTGTTTATTCTTTCTTTTTCAGGTCTACCAGGTGCACCCGGTATTGATGGTAAGTTTTTATTAATAGTTTTTTTTTTCTTTATTGAATTCATCATTGTTCTTGTTTTCTTTGTATAGGCTTGCCAGGTATATAAATTGACTTATTTCGATAAAAGAAATTATCGAATTCTTTCTTCATATTTAAAGGTCTTCCTGGACCACTTGGTCCACCAGGTGCTCCCGGTTTAGTCGGAGAAAAAGGTTTTGCTGGATTACCGTAAGTTTATTCAAACTTTAAACATTTCAAACTATTGTTTGAATTCATTTTCAGTGGAACCAAAGGAGAACCAGGCTTACCAGGTCTACCAGGAATGAAAGGAGAACGTGGTTTAAATGGAGCTCCAGGATTGAATGGTGCACCAGGTTTACCAGGTGAAAAAGGTGTTCCAGGCTTTCCAGGAGCCTCAGGATCAAGTGGATTACCAGGTCTTCCAGTAAGCTGAATATACATATAGTTGATTAGTTTTGATGGAATTTTATTTTCTTTACAGGGTACTTCAGGAACAAAGGGTGACCGAGGTATGAAGATTTATTTTTTTTAATAACAATCAAATATATTTGTTTGTTTCATTAAGGTCAACCGGGTTTACCAGGACAAGCTTGTACATCATGTATTCAGGGTCAACGAGGTGATCGAGGTTTACCAGGTACACCCGGTCTTCCGGGTCAAAAAGGAGAACCAGTAAGTTCAATGTAAATACAATAATATGAAATTTTATGACAATTATTCAATAGGGCGCAGCTGCTGCACGTGGACCTTCAGGCGAACGGTAAAAATAGATACTAATTAATAATCATATGGATTTATATTTTCACTGCTGTACTTTTTAGTGGACCACCAGGTCTTCCAGGTGCACCAGGCCTTCCAGGAGCCCCAGGTAAAGATGGATTACCGGGTCTTCCAGGTGCTAAAGGAGAACGTGCTATTGGTCAAGCAGGTAAACGCAGAAAGTTATTTCTAACTTTTGATTTCGATATGTTTTTTTTTTCATTTGATGCAGGTATCAAAGGAGCTATCGGTGAACCAGGTCTTCCAGGTCCAGCGGGTTTACCAGGATCTCCTGGTGAACGTGGCTTTCCAGGCAGTGCTGGTAAGAAAATATATAGATGCACCATTTAAATGCTTATCTTCTATTTTATAGGAACTCCTGGTATACCGGGTGAACGAGTAAATAAAACCTTTGTGTTTTAAATGTAAAATTTTTTTTCTTATTTTTTCTTCTTGTAGGGTTTACCAGGTCCCAGTGGTTTACCAGGTAAAATAGATAAATAAATAAATAAGGAATTTAATAATTAACTATTATTTATTATAGGCGCACCTGGACTTCCTGGTGCTGTTGGACAAAAAGGTATTTTATATAAAAAATTAAATATATGATAATAATAATTAATCCATTTGTTGTTTTTTAGGTGATAATGGATACAATGGATTACCTGGACCTAAAGGTGAAGCAGGTCCACCAGGTAAGAATAAGAAACTTAATTAAGAAAAATAAATATTGTACATTATTTTTGATTAGGTTTGAATGGACCACCAGGCATAAACGGTAAACAAAATCAATAAACTAATAGTTTGCTCTGTATGAGAATGCTATTCTAATTTTTTTTCAAGGTCTTCCGGGAGGCAAAGGTGAATCAGGTTTACCAGGTCGAGATGGTGGTGCTGGTTTACCAGGTCTTAAAGGTGAACGTGGTCTTAATGGATATCCAGGTATATTTATTTCATATATACAAAATTCATTTATCGGACTTTCATTATTTTGTAGGTGTTCCGGGAGCTAAAGGTGCTGCTGGTGCACCAGGTATATAATTTTTGTTGTAATTGTATATTTAGTATGTATTTTCAATTCTATTTTAAATAGGCTTACCAGGCGCACCAGGTCTTGCTGGTCCACCAGGTCCTTCTGGCGCTAATGGACTTCCAGGACTAAAAGGTTTCTATCTTAGGCATGAATAATAATTTGAATAAATCATTTTCTCGTATTCTATAGGAGATGCAGGTTTACCGGGCTTACCAGGCTCAAATGGTACTGTATAAAATTATCAAAAAAAAATTTTATTTACTATTACTGTTTTTACAGGTCCACCAGGATTGAACGGCGCACCTGGCCTTTCTGGTGATGCTGGTATGTTTAATTAATATATAAAAGAAATGATTGTTCTAATGAATTCATTTCTCTCATTATAGGCTTACCAGGTGCACCAGGTCAAAAAGGTGAACCAGGTAAATATCGAATTGAATATTTCATTCGATAATATTTAAATTATTTAAATCTTAGGTTATGCTACAGCTGGTCCTAAAGGCGAATCAGGTCCAAGTGGTCGTGATGGTAAGAAAATAATGATGAATTTAATAAGATATAATCTTTATTGATGTTTTAAAATAAAATAGGCATGCCAGGTCTTCCAGGAGAGAAAGGGTAAGATACAAATAAATAAAAATTTTTTTAAAATTATTTGGTTTTTATTTTCAGAAACTCAGGTTTAGTCGGTCCATCTGGTCTGCCTGGTCGAGATTGTGATACACCTATTGTTGGACAAGTATGTGAATAGATAAATTAAATGAATATAATGTTTTTTTTTCTCTTATTTATTTAGAAAGGTGATGCTGGCCTTCCAGGTCTTCCAGGTTCACCAGGTTTACAAGGTAAGAAACTGATTTTTGCTTTCTTTGTATTGCTTCTCTATTGCATTTTTAGGTCCACCTGGTGCAATGGGTAAAGACGGTTAGTATAAAAACTAATTTTTATCCTCTAGAAAAGGAAAATCTTTTTTTTGTTATGTTAGGTCTTCCCGGTGCTCCCGGTTTACCAGGTATTCCAGGTCCTAAAGGACGTGATGGACTCCCAGGTTCAAATGGTTTACCAGGTCTTCCAGGTATGTTCAATTCGAGAAAGCATTAAATCATAAAGATAATCTATCTTTTTTTAAGGTGAACGTGGCTTTGCTGGAATGCCAGGTTTGTCTATCAAACCTTTTTTTTCAATATTCTATGATCTACCTTTATTTTGAATAAATATATATAGGCCAACCCGGCTTACCAGGCGAAAAAGGTGAGTTTTAAAGTTTCAATTGAAGTTTATGTATCATTAAGTGTTCTTTAATATTCTAGGAACTAGTGGATTTCCCGGCACTCCAGGTATGTGTAAACAAATAGTTTTGAAATGAATGTTTATTGTTCGTTTCTTTTAAGGCATTCCCGGACCAAAAGGTGATCGTGGTTTTGATGGTCGTCCTGGCTCTCCTGGATTACCCGGTAAACACTTATTTAATTTTGTATTTTTGAAAGTCACTTGCTTTGTTTTGTGTTATTTAAATAAATAGGTGCACCTGGTCCAAAAGGTGAATGTGCTCCACCAGATCTAGTTGTTGGCCGTCCTGGTTTGAAAGGAGATCAAGGTCCAGCAGGATTACCAGGTATGAGAGTATTCTTTTTTTTTTTTGTTTTTGTTGTTATAGATTTTTATTTGATTTTTTAAAGGTTTGCCTGGACTTCAAGGACCAATAGGTATGTATATGAAATCTACTATTTTGTTTGATTCATTATCTATGAATTAATAGGTCCATCTGGTCCACGAGGAGAAACTGGTCCACCAGGACAACCAGGTCAACCAGGTTTACCAGGTTATGTTGGTCCTAAAGGTGAACGTGTAAGTATATTATGAGAGAAAATTTTTTTCTTCAAAAATTTTTATCATATCAATTATAATTTAGGGTGCTTCAGGTATTCCAGGTGTTAGTGGTATTGCTGGTCCACCAGGTAACGAGTTTAAAAAATTATTGGTAATAATTATTATTGTTAATTTTTTTGTAAATTCTAGGTGCTAGTGGTCCTCCTGGTCCACCAGGTCCTGGCCTTCAACGAACTGGTTTTCTCGTTGTACGTCATTCACAATCAGCTCAAGTACCCGAATGTCCAGCAGGCATGGTTAAACTTTGGGATGGTTATAGTTTACTTATGATGCAAGGCAATGATCATGGTTATCATCAAGATCTTGGTAAATATCGAGTTCTTTTTTTTTATTTCATTTATTAAACATAAATCTTAAAATATGTATTGTTAGGTTCGGCTGGTTCATGTCTTCAAAAATTTTCTGCATTACCATATTTACGTTGTGATCATACAAATGTTTGTTATTATGGTCAAACAAATGACTTAACATATTATTTATCAACCACAGAACCAATGCCAATGATGCCTGTTCAACGTGATCAAATTCGACCATATATATCACGTTGTGCCGTATGTGAAGCACCTGCCAATGTTATGTCATTCCATAGTTTATCAATGACACCACCACCATGTCCAAATGGTTGGAACATCCTATGGCAAGGTTATAGTTTTGTAATGGTATGTTAAAAAGAAAAGATAATTGTTTTCTCTATTATATAAGAATAACAAACGATATCTGCCTTTTATTAGTACCACAAGATATCTTGTTTATCTTAATATGTGAATAAAAGTTTGTTTTTCTTCTTTTTCTTTTTAGCATCTTGGTCGTGGTGCCCAAGGTGGCGGTCAATCATTATCAAGTCCTGGTTCATGTCTTGAAGATTTTCGTGCAACACCATTTATTGAATGTTCAGGAACAGATGGTAATTGTATGTATTATGCAAATAAATTTAGTTATTGGATGACTGTTATTGATCAAAATAATCAATTTGAAATCCCACGACAAGAAACATTAAAATCTGGCAATCATAGAAATAAAATAAGTCGTTGTACGGTGTGTTTAAAAACACAACAAGGTATTGGACAAGGTGGTTATCAAAATGGAAACTATTATGTTGGACAAACATTGAAAAAACATTAGACATTTTCTCTCTCTCTTTCTTTTTTTCTTTTCTTTTTTTTTAATTCTCATTTTAATAGTTTATCTTAATCATTTATACGTCCATTAGTCAGGCTTGTATTATGATTTGAGATACAAAAGTCATTTATCTACTTATAGGAAAAAAAAATAATGAACTATATTGTATGCAGAAATTTGATTGATTCGTTATTATTCTGTTGCATTTTGTTAACTGTCGTATCATCAGTACAGGTTTCTTTCTTTTCTTTTCTTTTTTTACTTTTATTTCACTTTCATTTATTTTTTTTTCTTGTGCTGTCTTCCTTGGTCTTTTACACAACATATAGATATCAGAAACACACACATATATTAACATACATACATACATACATATATTGAATTTGAACAGTGGGTGCTTTATTCGTTTTGTACGTCTGTGTAAAGACTTGTTATAATCGTTTTTTTTTTACTCTTGATTAATCTCTTCTTCTTTTCTTTTTATTTGCTCTGCTGTCAGTCAGCTCATAGTGTTAGAGCGAGCGTATGAAAAAGTATACGTGTGTTTGATTTTGGTTTTTTTTTCAATAATAAATATCAATCAGTATTATGAAAGAGAATTTTTTGAAAAGATTTTTTTTACTGGGTGTAAAAGAATGAGACAAAGAAAAGTGCAATCGTTGACGATAAGCTTATGTTTTGCAAGATTAAGAGACAAATATTGATTATTTGAAGTTGAAAGGGACTTCAAGGCGCACATAAAATAGGGTTTTATTCTATTGATGACTCGGTTATTGTTGAATGAATGCAGTTATAGTTGACAATAGAAAAGAATTGGTGATATTTAAAAATTGTAATTAACAAAAACTATGTGTTGATTTTGAACGGAACTGAGGGATAACGAAGATTACAAAAAAAAATGAAATGAAAATTCACAAAACGATCTGATTTTATATTCCACTTCGTGGATGTGTTCTAATTGTTCAGAACTCTTATTTATTCCATTGGAAACTGATTTTGTTATTTTATGGTTGTGTAATAATTGAAACAAAAGCATTACAGTGCATTGTTAAAATTTTACTCAAACTTATTATTGAATTTTATCAATAGTTATATTATTAGATCGTTGATTAGAATAAAAGAAAACCAAACATATTCTATGATATATATGAGACCAGATTAGATTCAATTGAAGTAAGATGATATCAGACGGTCACGATAATTGTGCCTTATACTAATGAAGAAACCTCTCTCGCTTTCCCTTTTCAATTTCCATGATTTTTCATCTCTAAATACAAGATAGTGTTCTCATAAAATCTCTAAAGGAATTTGGGCTCCTATCAATATTTTACTAAGCTATTGAATTTTGATCTCAAATTTTACGCCTACACAAAACTCAACTATTTTAAATTTCACAAAAAATTCACGAGTTTTGAGCAAAGTCTCTTGAGAAATTTGTAAAGTTTTTTTTATAGAAGTTAGTATAGTTGAGTTTTCCATACGGACAAAGTTTCAGATCGAAATTTGAAAATACAAATTTTTCGAAAAGCTGGGATTCTAGAAAATAGTCATATTACCAGTTCGATAACTTATTAAAGTATCAATAGGAACTCAAATCCTTTTAGAATTTTTATTAGAACACTAGATAGCATCTGTAGGCGAAAAGTCATTGAAATCAAAAGGGACAGCTGAAGAGGTTTCCTCGTAAGTTGAACGTGTTGCTGTTAGTAAATAAATATTTCCATCAAGAAGACACTTAGTTAATAATTATTTGTTAATGATGGGGACTATAAATAGTACTACGATAAAAAATAAAAATACCTTTGCATTATTTTAATCAAATGAGCTGATCTTTTGGTTAGCAATGGACGTTTATTCGAAGTTTTTTTTTTTATATGGGTGAGATAAACAAATACTACAATCAAGTATTATGGTTGATATCATAAAAGTAATTTTACCTGTTATCAAGTAAAACAAAATTCATATGTAGTGTTTCATAGATAAATCTTAGTTGTCATCAAAGAGAATAAGAAGAAATCAAAACAAACTTTATGAATGATACTATATTGATATGCATAGAGAAAATTTTTAGAACAAGTTAGTTTACAAGTCAATGATTAGAAAATTCGAACTTTCGAACATGGAACACTGATTTTTACAAGGAAATTGATGCTTAATGGGCTTTAATAATGCGTTTTACTTATGGTACAAAAATTTTCAGTATTTCAACTGACTAATAATTATGAAAGCTTGCTCTTTGTGCATCAATATAGTTTGTTTTGACTTATTATTATTATTTTCTTCGGTGACAACTAAAAATTACCTATGGAACGATTCAAATGTGTTTTTCTTATTTGACAATCAGTAAATTTTTTTCAGTGAGATTAAAAATATTAGTTGACAGTAGAATTTGTTTCCGTTATCCATATGCAATAAAAAGCTTTAAATTAGTTTTGACTACCAATTAAAAAATCAACCTATTCGAGCGAATCGAAATAGAGAGATTTTAAGTTTTTTATTATTATGCTATTAATGGTCCACTCTATATAATAAGTATAAATGTATTTTCTATAAATCGATTGATTCACTTTTATTATCATTCCGTAGAACTTCCATTTAGTCTTCAAGTAAGAACATATTGTCATAAAGAAAAAAATTGTATCTTTGTTATAGATATCCATTGAATGACAAATCAGACCTATGACACTTCTATATTTTACAGCAAGTAGCATGATTTTAAAATCTGTCCATAGTGTATTTTTGACAACTGGCTCGCTTTGTATTATTTTTTAATGAGTTTGGAATCTTCGATATGTGAGATAGATCTATGACTCATCATGCCATCTATAACAAAAACATATCCTGATAGATCTTTTTTATTCTCTTTCTACTGGTATAATCATTGGAGAACAAAAAAACTAAAATAAATATTTGTTTTTTCCTTCTGACAAGCGTACAAAGTTCAACATTAATAGAATATAAAAGCAGATATTCAATTCAATTAGCTTAGTTTTACTTCCTATAATCTGAAAATAATAAACGACTGGAAGACATACAACTATATGTCAGAAAAAATGACTACTCTAGGCTTTTTCTTTCCTTAATATTTGAAAAGGATAAAGTCAAGCGTATTAATGCTTTGAATTTTTCATCATATAAGCAATGTCATTTGACATATTCATTAATAGAGCATATTTCTGAAATATACTAAATAGATTATTAATATTTCTAGATTTTTAAATGGCAGCATCAAAATCTGAACCAGTTCATATTGATAAAAATGTCTTATATGAAATTGGAACAAATTTTTGGAATATTCGAGTAAATTTTAAAATGTTAGCTGGTCTAATTGATGTTGGTTCTCATATGTCATTAATTCGATTAAATAATGGAAAATTTCTCATTATTGATACAGTTATATTGAATGATCAATTACGAAATCAAATTGATCATTTAACTGATAATGGAAAAAATATTCAAGCTGTTATTGGTGTACATCCATTTCATACATTAGCATTTCAAACATTTTATGAAACATATCCCAAAGTAGAATATTATGGTACACCACGACATTTAAGACAACTTACGAACATACCATGGGCTGGTTCACTTGAAGATTGTAATATAAGAAAAAAATGGGAACCTGAAGTAGAAATGAGAATACCTGCTGGTAAATATGCTTAAATATAATATTTAATAGATATAAAAAAATTTTATATTTTGTATAGGTGCTGAATTTGTTAATCCTTTACCAGAATCAAGTAATCATTTTATAAGTGTTTTTGTATTTCATCATTTATCACGTACTTTACATGTTGATGATACAATTGTTTATGGAGATCATCCAAGTTTTCTACTTAAATTAATTGGTTTTAAACATGGTACAATGGCATTTCATCCATCAATTAAAGGACCAGGATTATATCCAACAGTTGATGCACCATTACAATTTCGTGATTGGATGAAAACAATGTTAAAAGATTGGACTTTTGATAATATTTGTTGTGCACATACTGGCGTTAAAATTGGTGGAGCACATCAACAAGTTGTTGAATTAGTTAATCACGCTGAACCATTATTTAATAAATTAAGTGAAAAAAATCGAAAGAAAAATCCTCATAATGAAATACCTGCTGGAAATCATCCAAATATGAATGTTAGTGGAGATGAATGTGGTTAAAATAAACAACAATTCTAATATTATTCATTTGACTATTATCTATTGTAATTTTATTTGTTTGTAGCTTACACACAACCTACATATACTTTTTTTTTTTGGTAGTAGAAAACCGATTATATTGATTGAAATTTGAATGAATGTAAGTAATTGTGAACTAAAATTTGTTTTTAATCAATATGAATATTTCTTTATATCTCAAGTCTTTTTTTTTTTATTTCTCTTCTCGTTAATTCTTTATCGAAGATAAGAAGTTGTAAGGACAATTAGACATTAAATGACAAGACATTGCATAAGTGATATAGAGAAGTAAATGTTACTCGTAGCTTACTTATACGAAAACACAATAATTGTAAGAACTTAACCTTTCTGATAATGTAAAATAGATCGATGAAATAATCTTATTAACATGAGTTATCGTACTACACTCTGCTTATTATACGATTGTTTATACTATTAATAATGACAATTTAAAAGGATCAAACTGAAAAGTAAACGTTTTGTGAGTATTTTTAGATCGTGATTAATCAGTAGAATATATCTACTTGTGCATATTAAAATCATTCTCTATTGATTACAAATGAAAAATTTATTTATTCCCTATGGATTTCGAAGTAATCGAATCAAACTCTCCAAAAAAATTATATATATATCTTAAAATATTTCTTAATTAATTTTCTTATCTAATCTTTCATTTCTATATGAATTTACAAAAAGCAAAAAACATCAGACAAATTTATATTTTCTTTTTAAACATGATTCTTTATATTACGTTTACAATGTTTAAGTATTTTCTGATTAATTTTTTGTAAGTGTTGTTTATTAATATTTAATTTTATTTTTGCACGTTCAAGACGTGTTTTTATTTCATTTAATCGATTACGAAGTCGTTTACGTTCATCTCTCATTCGTAATATTTCAAATGGAAATATAGTAACAACACTTGATAAACACATTGTACGTAATTGTTTATCTCGTCGAGTTTCTAATTGTTTAAAACATAATGGACATTGTCCAGTTTCTTTTAATCGTTTTCTAATACAATTTTTTCCAAATAAATGACCACATGTTGTTGATACTAATTGATGTTTTTGTTGATTTGTACACATTGATGCACAAAGTGAACAAATAAATAATTCATTTTCAGATATATTATCAAATATTGTTTTAAGAATATCTTTTGTAATTATTGGTGATAAGCATTTATTTGTAGTCATTTATAGATATTTTTTTTTTCTCTATACAAAAGAAATGAAAAAAGTGTAAATTAAAAAAATTTCCTTTTTCTTTTCGAAACGAGCGAAATTCGAATTTTTTTAAATTGACATAGTTACTACTATATTCTTTTCATTCGAAAAAAAAAAGATATGGATATGAGTGGCATCTTAAGACTATTATTTCTTTATTGGTTATCATATAGAATTAAAATAAACGAACAAAAAAAAAAAAACTATAACTATAACTCTTCATTAACTGAATCATCATTTTCTTTGTTGGCTTCATCTTCATCATCAAGTTTTGTTAGTAATACTTGTAAATCTAACAATGCTGCAGGTGTTAAACCTAATACAAAAAAAAAGAAATAAATAATAAATGAGTAAGAATTATTTAATAACTTACTATTAATAAGTGGTCGAATATCTTTTATCTTTATTTGAGATAATAGTCGTTTACCAATTAAATCTAAAACATTATTAACTTCACTCAATACTTTACTATATTCAGGATATCGTGTTTCCCAATCTTCAGGTACAAGATGAAGACGATTATCATATAATGCAAGAATAAATTGTTGAATAAATAAACGAAGAATATCATCAAGAGAAAATATTTCTTCATTTTCTAATATAATATCAACAGACATTGTTGGATTGGCTTCATCTAAACTAATAGGTGTTTGAATTGTTTTAATTAATGTCTTCATAAATAGATCAACAATAGGATTTGATGATTGTGCTTCCGTAGTAGATATAGAAAGTCCACTAATCATCAGTACCAATACGATAATCGTTGAGGACATCATTTTTTTGTGTAATGTGAATAGTAGTTTGATGCTTTCATTAAAGTCGTTGTACACCAGGTGTTATTCTTCTCATTATTTTTAATAATATCATATCTCATCTATTTACTTAACTATAGTAAATATTCAATTTTAATAAAAAAAAAATATTCTTTTATTGTCGATAGATATAAGAATTATGCCTTATGCATATGATAATGATGAATTTTCACGTTATTATGATACATTTGTTGCTGAACATGTACCACATGATATTTATTGGACAAATACAGTAAAACAAGTCTATACAGAAATAATTCAACGAACATTTTGTGATAATCAACAAAAAATTATCGTTGAATTAGGTTGTGGTACGGGTGAAAATTTAATTTATTTTCAAGAATATTTTCAAAATAAAGATCTTAAATTTATTGGTATCGATCATTCATATGCTATGTTAAATCGTGCAAAAGAAAAATTAATCAATCAATCAAATAATCAAATTGAATATTTACATGGTAGTTTAACAAATTTTGCTAATTATTTTGAAACACAAAAGATCGATTGTATACTTTTACCAGCTGGTACATTTCATCATTTAATAACTGATAATGAACGTCAAGAATTTATCAATAATATTCAACGAACACTTCGAATTGAAACAGGACTTTTTGCTATTTATTTATTTCCTGATTCATTAATACATATTGAATCCGTAGATAAATCAGAAACTGAAGATAAATTAAAACTTATTTCTGTTGAAAATATTCAACAAAATGATAATGAATGGTTATGTAAACAAACATTTGAATTTAATGTTCCACCAAAAGTTGAAATATCATGGCAATTACGTACATGTTCAACATTTAAACTAATTAATTTATTTATTTCGAATAATTTTGAAATTCTATATTGTTGTTTAAATGGAAAAGACCTTCTACCATATAATGAAAATATTTCATATTCCTTAATGAATAACTCTACACCTGTAATTATTGTTTTTCGTACAATAAAAAATACCAACTAGACTCATATTGACATTTAGAGCAATAAAAAAAAAAAAGAAAAAGACAAAGAAAGAAAAGAACTGAAGATTTTTATACAAAAAAAGAAAAAAAAAACATATTTCTTTCATCGTACCATTCAATGATGATGCCACTAAACGTTTCTCTAGTTTTATCACAGTATTAGATATACGAGAACCTGTATAATTGACAACACAAGCTCATATATCAGTACACAATTGAAACATTTTAAAGTTGTAACAAAAGTGTAAAGATAATAGATGAATCATCATCATACAGCATCGTGTTCGTTTTTATCTTCGAATACGGGTGGTACGCGTGGTGCAATCATTTGAGTTAGAAATGGCTGCATATGAGTGTCAACACTCGATTGTCGGCGGACATAGAATGGTGTCGGTTGTGCCACTGTGTTCTTATTGCCTATAAAACAAAAATAATAACAAATAGTGCGACAGATACATTACTGGTTTTCTCAACGAGTACTTCTTGTAGATAAATAAATTGTGTTAATTTATCTTTTAATCTATTGTCTATATCGATTGATGTTAAAGCAAAGAAAAGATCGATATATCTCTTTCTTTAGTAATGAGTTTACTCGTTTAATTCAAGTTATAAGAAAATATCTCGTAATCAAATCATAAAATTATTGTTCGTCAGAAAGCAAAAATAGAATCGATTAGTCAACATCATTTATAGTTTTAATCGACAAAAATCAATTGAAAATCAATTACTCACAATTGATAAGCTTCATCTTTCTTTAAGAAAAACAAAATAAAAATAAAAAAGAAGAATTCGTTCTCGTTTCTTTTTTTTTTTTTGTCTATCACAAGTATTTAAGAAATCAATCTATATTCATTAATCATATATTCAAAATAAAATTAAAGAATTCTAAATTAATAAAATCACATTAAATAAACGAAGGTGGTTTCATGCAAATCGATTCTAACAATTTTCTTTTTCTTTTCTTGTTTTACTCTAGACAATGCTCCAACAAGGATTATCAATATTTGCTACATTAGCTCAAGTATCAAAACAGATAAAAGAAAACAAATCTTTCTTGTTTATTCATCTATTAACATCATAGTTAGTCATGTATGCTACTATCAATGAATACCAAATAATAAAAAAAAAAAAAGAATTTCATCCCAGATCGAAATAATGCAAAAGATACTTAAAATTCCACATCTAGTATCATTATAAAATGAAAATTTAAGAGAGTGAAAAAGAGAAATGGTTTTTTTCTGTCTTTTAATCATAAAGATGAGTAATTCTAAAGATGAAAGCTTCTATCTAGAAAATGATTGTATTGTTTGCATTATAAAGTAATTACTTTATAAACATATTTTTTCTTGTTTGACTTTCTTTTTCTATTTAATCTAAGAGAATTATTTGTTAATTAAAGCATAGACAAAAAATTCTTTTAAAGAAATATACGCATTTTGACACATTGACACTTTTATCTTTCTAATCAATGAATGAAACGAAAGAAATGTATTTATTTACATCGATATACATTAACATTAATGGAAAAATGTCCTTATGATAGCTGTTATATGCCATTAAGTAGAGATTTTTCTAGGTGTGAGTGTTGGTTTCCATCGATATTTTTTTCTCTTATTTTTTTTCTTTTTGATCAACCATTAACAAAACTAATATGAGGGTGCTTGTTGATTTGGTTGAAATTTTCATAGCGATTTACTTGCAATTCCGATCCTCTCCAAGTCTACTCTACGATAATGATAATGACGATGATCGAGCGTAACATTCGATGGTCTCGATCGATGGCCTCTTGTGAATGCAACAGAAGGATCGAAATCGAAGGAACTAGAGAAAAATCCTCTTGATGGGTTAATATTTTCTTATTTTTTTTCTTCTCTCTCTCTCTTTTTTTTCCATCTTCATTGCTTCTATCATAAGTGGGCTCTCCTGTTGATTGCTCCATTTTTTTTTCATTTATCTACATAACTCGTTTCTTGTCTAAAAACGAGTAGAGAGAAAAAAAATGAGATTCCACCAACAGAAAAGTATATCTATAAATCTAAACTATCGTCACTGGTATCAATACATCGTAACTAAATAGCGAAGTACAGAAAAAAAGCAAAAAAAAATAAAAGGTTGTCTCAACAAGCAACTCTAATTAAGTGCTACTCGTTTCATCGTCTTCTATATTTATACATATATATCTATCATAAATAGTTTACGCTTAGTTCTTATTTCCTTGTGACAGAACGAAGAGATAAAAAAAAAAAAGAAAAAAAACCAATAACGATCTGTTTTTTTTTTCCTAATCCGATTGTAAATTTGGCTTTTCACTTAAATAGTCTAGTAATGCATTTATTCTTTTACTATTAGTTACTTCTTGAGTATGCATTTTTTTTTCTTTTATTCGTTCATATCTATGTATCACTCAATTATGGAAACACAACTGATTCTTCGTTTTCTTCTCTTTTCTTGTCATTGTCAAAGAAACATAAATAATAATAATAAAAAAGAGGCGATCGATCGTAACAAAACAGATTTATTCTCACAACTATTTTGTCGAGGTTTTACATGCACGCAACAAAAAACTATAAATAATTTCTTTTTATTCAATTCTTATTTACACATATTGATATATGCATGCATTTTTATTTTTGAATAATACCTGATAATTGAACAAAAAGTATACCCCATCGTATTGACCAAATCCAACCAACAAGTAAAAAAATTGTAGCACTTTGTAATATAGCCGCAAGGATATTATAAAAAAATGCTACAATATTTTTTTCATAATCATGTTTTCCACAACAAAATACAGCAAATGCACTGATTAATGTGCCTAAAATAATAGTAAAATAAAATCATACAATGATGAACATATTTAGTTTTCTTAATCAATTTGTTTGACATGACAGATTTATTCATATTTTCTTTTTTTACTTGTCGATTCGCTTATTCGGTTTTATATTCGATTTCTTTGTCTCTACTTACGATGTAATATGATGATGTTAACATACGCTCTATTGGGAATGCATCCATATGCCTATCACTTTTTTTTTTCTTTTTTTTCCATATATTTTTCTACGATGTTCTCATCTATTATATCTGATGATTCTAACAGGATTTTATATCTATATATAGAATATAAAGACGATAGAGAATTCTTATCAATTTAGAAATAAAAACAAAAAACTTTTCTTTTTTTTTTTTTAATGACATATGATGCAATGAAGTACGATAGATTTAATAAAGAAAAAAAAACTAAATGAGAATAATTAGTGTTTGACCATTATCAAGCTGACCTCATTTATCATTGAGATCGTAAAATGTACATAATGAACGCTATCGTTTGCGTGTCTGACATAAACTATTCATCTATCCTCATGTCGAGTTGCGAGTATGCAATATTACCTTATTCTTTTCTGTATATTTTTTTGCTGCGTATTTCTACTAGGGATCAGAAGGAACGATAATATTTCCACCATGCGTTGTTTCTTGTTGTTATTAGTAAGACCATGACGAAAGATGAATTCAACATGCGTGAGGAGTAGAGTTATAATAATAATAATAATAATAACAACAACAAACAATCTAATCGAAGGCAATCGATCTGCATGACAACTAAATCAATACAACAATAATGCTGATGAGTTGTAATGCTGGGAATGGGTGTGTCTATATGTTAGTAATCAAAAAGGGAAAATAAAACGACATATGATAGAAGAGAAGTTTAAAAAAATTGTGAGATTATAATTGCTAGACATGCTGAGTAATAACAGTGTTGTCGATAACATTAGTGATTAACTTCCTAGAAAGTTTTTTCTTTATGATATTAGAAAATAGAAAAGATAAGACAACATGGCTTTCTATTGTCAAATAACTCATACATATAAAATATGACTTGACATACTGAATAGCGTGTCATCAAGTATGTTTTTTTTTCTTTGATAACGTAAAATCATACCTGTTCCAGGCAATACAAGATTGAGTATAAAACAGATACAGGCTAAAGCACGTGGCATATGTGGAACAGCTCGACGAAACATGCCTTGTGTAGCTTTATTTGAATGTGATGCACCTGTATTCATCGATGGACGTTTGCTTGATGTTATTGATACATGACTTCGACGAGCATTTCGACTGTTTGGTTCCGGTGTTAATGAACGAGGTTCATCGACAATAACCTTTTGCAATGACATCTTCATTCGATGAAGCTATTTTCCTTTCGTCTTCTGGCTATGGTTAAAATCAATAGTAATCTGAAAATGAAAGTTGGCAAGAAACAAAGACCTCATCTAGTTTTTCGTCACTATCTATATTCTGAATCATTCGAGGAAATCACATATATGCACACACCATACATCACTAGTTTCCTACTGCTTTAGGCTATATATGTGTCTTCTAACATTAGCAAAGAGAGAAGAAAGAGCAAGAGAGAGAGAGAACAAGGGAAGAAAAGGAAAGAAAGTGGGTGGTGACAACGGCGACGACAACCCGTACACACCACCGTCTTCATCGTATCCCTGTCATTCTTTGCAACAAACATCTTTCATCTCTTCTCTGTCTCATTTTAGCTTCTATTCTCTTGAAAAAAGAAACAGCTTCTCTACATATTTCTTCTCATAACAAAGATTTCGGAATGATACAATTCTTCTACAAGAGCATATTCTTTACAATACCATTGAGATTAATATACATAACAAACAAACAACAAACAGTGTATGTACAACAACATCAATAACGGCCATTATTATATCTAGAAAAAATATTTCACATCTATCTACTCCACCTATCTATCCTATTTTCTTCAAAAACACGCACACACATTCACAAGCATAAAAAGAAAAAAAAAAGAGCAAATCTGCAGTAATAATGATGATGGCACTTTCAAGTGCCTCTACATCCGATAGGGAAATAAACCAAAAAAAAAATATATCACTCACATCGAACAGAAAACATATAACAGAATAAAGGTTATTTTAATATAGTTTTTCTTTTGTTCTTTTGGATTTCAATTTGTTGATTAATGATTATATGATAAAGGATTTGATTAAATCTTTTTCTAAATACTCTTTAAGAAAATGTCAGACATCAGAAAATAGAAAAATCTTCATCTTTTTTTGTAACAAATAAAGTTCATTTACTTTCTCTTCTCTATCAGATATTCCAATGGGAATAAAAGTCATTTTCTGGTTTTTTGATGTTTGATTAGATGAAAAACAAAACAAATTTTATTCTCATAGGAATTCTTTTATCTGACGATATTCAAATATAAGAGATATATCTGTTTCAAAAAACACTCTCGTTTGTGTTGATAAACTTTTATTTTCTTTTCTCTTTCTATGTTGGTAAACAATTCTTCAGCGTAATTTAAATAATTGTTATTTCTTTTTTTAGGTTTCTATGAAGAAAATAACCTAGATTTGATTTTGAGAAATATGTAATATAAAATACTCATAGAAAATTTTTGAAAATACTTTTTGATTGAATCATAACATATGTTTGATTCAATAGGCTTTTCTTTTATACAAATGACATTAGTATAACAAATTTTTGCTTGTAGTAACTACGATTTTATTTTCCTTTGGAGTTTGGAAAAAAAAAGAGAACTTATTGGAATAAATTTTTTTTTGTATGATATTTGAATATCAAAAGCATATATTATCAAGATAAAATCATATACAATCAAATAGCAGTAAAATGAATATTAATCAGACGCATATTCTTCATACTAAGACTAGTGGTCTATTCAAAAAAAAAGTTAGAAGATTAAATTATTTTAAGAAAAAAACATCATTCTATTTCTGGAATAAGAAAAACTCATTTATGTTGATTCATAAGAAAATAGTGAATTACTTTTTTTTTTGTTATAAATTCCTTCTAATACTATCATGATGTATAATAAGACGATTTTAAATACATCCTTCTGTAAGTACCTGGATACATTTATGTAATTAAATGTAATCATCAACATATACTTACTTCATGTCAATATGCTAAATTGCAAAATATATTGGTGGTTATTTATAACTATTTATTTTCATGTATGCCTATCCAAACAAAATGAAACTTTCTGGAACTTGAATCACATTAATCTTAATATATTCATCTATATTTCATCATAGTTTTATTTTATTTATGTATATAAATAAATATATATATATATTAAATGAGATCGAAAATTGTTTCTTTATATACTATCATCGATCAATCTTTTATTTTTTCGTCAAAGATATAATGAAATAGTTTTGCAATGTAAACTTTCCTTTTCTTTTTCATACAGTCACTTATATTCTAGACTCTTCACACCCCTTTTCAAGTTATGATTAATGTAAGTTTTGATGTGTTTGATTAGCTTGAAATTTATGCGCGATCCAAATGAGGTTATTTTCTATAGTTAAATATAGGTCATATGATTGCAAAAACTAAAAAAGCGTAAATTAGTAGATAAAGAATTTGTATCCGCGAAACATTTTGGCGAGAAAGAAAAACAAAGAAGTTTTAAACCTTTCAATCAACTAATATATAATAAAGTGGAATAAGAGTATTTTTGAAAAGAAAAATTATAAGATTATGAATAGATTACTAACTAAATGATATAAACAAGTGATAGAAGTACATGGAAATGATGACTTTATCTCATTGAAATTAGACAACTATTGTCTTATGTAAAAAAAAACACAAGAAAGAAAATGAATGAAGATAAGAAATTTCAGTACAATAGCAGTCAAATTTAAACATACTTGCTTTCTTTTTAATAAAATAAGGAACGTGATTGGATAGAGATGATTTACAGGATATCCGTCGTTCCGAAAGATGTTTGGTGTTCTTTCTTCAACAGGTTAGTAATCAAAAATGTATTCTTGAATCTCACCACATTTCCGAATAATAAAAGATGTGTTGATGAAACGGATATTCTCATGTCTTTTGAGCATTCGTCGAGAAAAATTGCATCTTTACATGTAAAAAATGCATCAATCTGAATGACCTTGACTACAATCGCATTCTTTTTTTCTGTCTAGCTCCATATAAGGAGATACATAGACATACTAAATCTTCTTTCAAGTAGAAATTGTATTTACAAATAAAAACATTCGTTAGAAACGTATCTATAAAAATGAATATTTATTTCGATGATGAATAACAATCGAAATATTCCTATCAAACAAAAAGCAATCAAAATTTTTCCATAAATTATCTATTTCTTTCTTAGATTTTCTATTATTTAGTTATACAAGGATATCCCAAGGTAATCAAGATTAGGATGTGGGATGGACTACTAACTAGAAAGTAGAATTTACGAAATTGGGGCAGCTCGACATTTGTTACGAAGATTGGGTAAGTAAATACAGACTAAGTAAATTTTTTTGTTTTGCTAGAGGAAAACGAAAATTTTCTAAGATTGAGGATCATTCTACGATCGAATTTACAAAACCCATTGAATGCAATGCGATAATTTCAAATGGTTTTATTCATGTGAAACTTTTTATTAAAGAAGAAGTACTACTTAAATTGTCAAGCAATGCATTCAACGTAAATGAGCATGCATTGAAAAAAAAATTGTTTTTTATTAACATATGACATGTTTGATTAGGTGAGATATTAGAAAGTTAAATTTATTTTACATAATGAATAATAATCGATCGATATTTAGTGTTTTCTTATCATTTCAACGTATTGCTAATGTATATAGATGAGTTTCATTCACAAGAAAAGAAAAATGATGCAATTGATATGTTTTTTTTTAAATAGATGATAGTTTTTATTGAAGCTATCAAAATCAGAAATAAACAAACGTGAAATATGAGATAATTTTGTTTGTATTGAAATATTATGCATACCAGGGCATTTGAGAAAACAGTTATCGTTCGGAGACAACGATTTAGGTTGCAAGATTAGTTGATATTAGTATCAAATTCATGTTATAATCTGTGAAAAAAGATCGGATTCTGTAATAACCTTTATAATTCTACAAGTTTTCTTAAACATATGTGAAATTGGTAACTTATTAGTTGGAAATATGAATTAGAAAGTAATGTTATAGATTTTATTTGAAGAAAATCATTAGAATGTAGGATTTACGCTAGATATACTTGAATTGATTCTTAATTTTTGAGCTAAAATTTTGCCAATAAGTATAAAAACAAAAAAAACTCGTTTAAAACGTGTCCGTACTGATTGCCCATTGTTCAAAAACTTACAGACATTTTCTCGAGTTTTCAAGGAGCCACAGGATGAGATCGTCGAGGAACTTCCTTCTGATATTTGTTTCTGAATATTCAAGAGAAATGTATATGTCTCTCTTCAGATGTTACGTTAACAAAACATAGTTTCTTACCATAGACAGAAACGAAAATTGTCCGTTCGAATTGTAAATTAATTAATTCAAGAAGGACATGGTCGTTTCTCTTGAGCATTTAATAAAAATTAAATTTATCAACTGGCAAAATCTCAAAACACAATTCATTTATTTGAATTTCTCGATAATATTATGCTATGGAATCGAACACTCAGAAAAACAGTCGGTAAATTTTGAAAAAAAGTGCTGTACGTACGAGACACTTTGACTTATGATAAGTCTCATTAAGTCCTCTTTGTTGACAAAGTTTGAACTCAAAATTGTAGTACCTTTCTTAATATAACCGATGTTGTTGATGTACGTGATTTATTAATTTCATTTGTATTTTCTAAACCTTCTCTTTAAATAAATATATTACTTGTGTAAATTATTCTATTGATAAAAATAAAAGTTGTATAAAAGAAAAGGACTTATGTGATAATATATGTTGAATAATCTGAGAAAAGCTGAAATAAGAATCCCATCTTGAATTATATTCTAGTTAGTTTTTGACTGTCGTTCCTAGTAATCATGATGGATCAGGTCATGTTACAATACACATTATTCTTTTGCTTGATTCACTAAGATTTAAAACAGTATATAGTAAATGAAATCAATATGAAAACAAATAAATTTTTACCTTAGTTGTAAACTAGTTCAAAATTAATATGATGTAAATGATCAATAAAGTTCTTATGCTTTTGTTGTTTATAATTCTTTATATTTGTATTAACAAGACATTAAATAGAGAATATAAGTTAATTTAATACAATAGATGTTTTGTTTGACAAATGGGGTGTTTGAATTTGTTCATATTCTCTGGCTAAAAGTCTAATTTCGTGCTGAATACATTCAAATTGC